TGCTAAGTAGTCTTCTTGACAGTATATCTGGAGTCCACACCTCCTTGCCTGAAATGTGTTTAATATGATATTCCTAAACGTAGTCTCATTCTTTGAAATTTAGGAAGCAGATCATCAAAAATATTTTGTAGTAAATATTGAGATTTAAAGTTTGTTATCTATTTCTAATATAACCTCCAATCCGGCGATGTAATTTTTAAATTTGTCACACGCCCATTGCAATACGTAGCCTTCTTTTTCGATTTGAGCCCAGTTGCTTTGGGTTGCTGTTAACGTTCTCGAAGCATATGCAATCGGACGATATTCACCGCTTTCCTGTTTTTGTTTGAGCGCCGACGCCGTTGGGATATGCGTATCAAGAGAGATAATGACAGCCGCGGATGCTGAAGTGTCCGCGGCTATCACTGTCTCTATGGATGAAATGACATGCGAGTACTGAAGTACTCGATAATGCTATCTTCAACTTTTGAAATGCTTGTTGTTGTGCCGTGTCCCATACAAATGCATTTTTGGGCTCATTATGTTCAGTGATTTTGCCTTCCTGGCGAGTTTCTATGAACTTGGACAAACAATTGATCGAGCCCATGAGGCTTCTAAGTTTTGAAATTCTGTGGCGCCTCCATAGTAATGGCCTTTATCCTTTTATCGTTGATATGAATTCCTTTATGATCTAAAATGTGCCCTAGAAACTTAACTCGTGCGTCTACTCCGAAGACACATTTATCTCCATTTAATGTTACCTTGGTCTCCGTTAACCGCTTAAAGACTTTGTGGATCCTTTTGCTATGCTCTTCTATCGGTCTGCCATAAACGAGGATATCGTTCATATTTACTAAGACGCCTTCGATTCCGTCCAATATTTGAATTATTCTTCTCTCCTCGGGTGCTGCGCTTATGCCAAAAGAAAATTTCTTGAATTTAAAACGACCGAAAAGTGTTTTAAACATTGTTAAAAGTTGCGATTCTTCATCCAATATACATTGCCAAAATCCATGGTTAGCATCTATTTTAGAAAAAATAGCGTGCGTCGCTCAACTATTCCAGGATGTTAACCGGCATAGGACGATTTTTTCGTTTCATATATTTGTTTAGATGGACGTAATCAATGCAAATTCGTATTTTCCCGTATGGTTTTAAGACTAAAACTAATCCGAAACACCAATCAATAAGTTAAGCTATTCTTTCGATGAATGTTTAATCGTTTCATTTCTTCTAAATTAGTTTTAATCTCTTTAAGAAGTGGAAAGGGAATTTCTTCTTGACGTAGTAAGAGCATAAGGTATCGTTTCTTCCTTTAACTTTGTTTGTATGAAATTTCTCGACTTTCCATAGACCTTTAAATACTCGCGCATATATCGCTTTAGGATTAAATGATGATTTAGGATGTTCTTCTAATTTAATTGAGACGTGTAATTATTCCGAGCCTCTTGCATGTAATCCCGTCAAGTAGTATTCGATCCAATCGTCCGACTACGTAGATTTCAGTCTTCTTTGTCTTACCTCTACAGTGTATTTTCTGTTGAAAAGATCCTAAACAGTTCATAACTTGCTAATCCGCGCTGAACAACTGATGACCCGGCGACCGCAAACGAATTTCTGCAAAATGCTTATTATATATATTATTTGGAATGCAAGTAATATCTGCTCCAGTGTCGACTTTTCCCAAAAGTCGAATATTGCCGATGATGACTGTTACCGTCCATCTACCTTTATCCAATTTTTTTATCAAATTCTGAGATTGATTCAACGCTTGAGCTTTCCTCTATGATACTTATAAACGTATCTTCGGTCGCTTTGGGTGCCTCTATCGCACGTACTGCTGCGTTAGTTACCGACTGTCTATTTCGGCATACTTTTGTGTAGTGTCCTATCTTTTGACATGAGTGACACGCAACCTTACTTGTGGGACATTTCTTTGTAAAATGCGGTCTACCTCCACACTTTCGACAGATCAAAGTTAATCCCTTCTCTATTTTACCTTTATTACTTATATAGTCTTGATTTCTCTCACTTCTTCTCTCCGCTATTTCGCTTGCGTGCTTTTTTTGCTTGCGTGTATGGACACGGTCTATGTCTGATTTCATATCGTTGAGTAAGATTGACAATTGTCGCTTGATCTGCTCGCTCTGCTTTACTATCCTGACAGCTGCTTCCAACGTGAAATCCTACTACTACTAGTCTGTTACGAATGAAATCATCTTTTAATATGCTCCAAATTTGTTTAAATCTGCAAGTTTTGTACAAATCACGCAGTATAATTTGTTGAATAGATCTCATTTATTAACATATAAAAATCCATTTGTTGTAGGACAAAAACTGCATATAATCTTATATATGGGATGTTCCACGTCAATCAAATCACTTCCCTGTCCAAAATTTGATGCAACGTAAAAAAAATGTGCGAGAGCTCAAATTACTCGTATTTATTATGAAAGGTGTTTTATTGCAAAAAAACAACATGGTGGCATCAATATGGCATTCGTAAGCAGGAAAATCGACAAAATTCACTGTCTCATTTTTTATTAAAGAGTTTAAATGTTTCGTAAAACATTTTTTTTATATAAAAACAATGTAGTATCCTCAGAAATAAATCACCATATTCAGTTTCCGGAGAGAAACAGAATGGCGAATCCAAAAGAGGGGAATTAATCAGAAAACTGACCGAAAACCGATACCAAAAAACTTCAAAAAACACATTTAAAATAGAGGAGTCATGTACGATTAAGGAAAAAATTGTTGGAGACTGATAAATTTTCCATGATGCACTGTTATTTTTAGAAGCAAACTCTACACAGAGTTGTCATTATGGTAAACGAAATTATTTAAATATCTCAGTATAAGTTATGTAAGATTATCAATGATTCACGGAAACGTCTGTTCATCTTCTTGATTGACATAAAATCCGTATCATCTACAAACTGAAAAATTTGACAAGAAAGGGACAATTTTGAGAGAATTAAAATCTTGAGGAAAGTTGGTTAGTATTTGCATCAGTCCTTTTCAGAATAGTTGGTGAGCATTTCCATCGGTTACTCGCAGGACTATTTTGGTCGCTTTTCCAATAGTCCATTTCAGTAATTTGTTTCCATCGGCCTTTTTCAAGGCTACTCTTGTTTTCTTCCACATGCTTTCTGTGATCTTTCTTGAGATTCCCCTATGCTTAATATTATCTTTGTCAGAATCATGGCGGGGGATGAAAAAGATAGCTATATTAGTAAAAGTTTGAGAAACATTCCGAGAAGTATCTTTGCAATGTTCCCACATTTATCTCAGAATTGTGTTTTTTGAAGTTTTTTGGTGCCGGTTTTCGGTCAATTTTCCGATTAATTCCCCTCTTTTGGATTCGCCATCCTGTTTCTCTTCGGAAACTGAATACGGTGATTCATTTCTGAGGATACTACATTGTTTTTATGTAAAAAAAATGTTTTACAAAACATTTAAACTCTTTAATCGAAAATGAGACAGTGAATTTTGTCGATTTTCCTGCTTACGAACGCCATATTAGTGCCGCCATGTTGTTTTTTGCAATAAAATACTTTTCATACAAAAGTATTAATAAATACGAGTAATTTGAGTCCTCGCACGTTTTTTTACGTTGCGTCAAATTTTGGATAGGGAAGTGATCCAGTTGACGTGGAACGTCCCATATATAAGCTTGTATAAGATTAAATACAGTTTTTATTTTAAAACATATTGACTTTTATGTAAATAAATAATATGTTTTTTTTCAACAGGAATATACGTTTACACATTTTCATCAAATGCACAGCATTCATATTTTTGCAAATATTGCCATCATGTTGTTGTCAATATGCTGTTTTTCACAGATACCACATCGTGACGATAAGTTGCTCTCATGTTGCCATCAAGATGCCGTCAACATGCTATCAAACGTGAACAGCAAAGCTATGAAAATAGTTGCCATCACATGTACATGTATTCGTTGTGCATAAGAAAGTGGTGTCATCAACAAAATGCTATCAACTTGCAATCATTAAATTTAAAATTCATATGAGGGTAATATTACACACATAATGAGAAAGCTACTTGTTCATCGACATCTATTGCAGCAACGGTTGACAGCAACATGACGGCATCTTCGACGCATTTGACTATCTGAGTTATTATACGTACATGTTGCCACTTTATTTTTGACTGTTTTAAACTTAAGATCTCTGATGAGTTTACCAACCTATTTTATTAATTACAACATTCTTCAATATGTTTAATTTTTTTATTTCATTTTTCATTTCATTTTTCATTCAGTCAATTTATTTAATTGTTTATGATCCAAAAGTGTTACTATTTGGAACATTTTGTCGTCATAAATGAGTTTATGGCACACTGAATGGAAAGAAAATTTTCGTTTTGTAATCATTATAAAACATGTAAAATTTATATTACAATTGTAGATATATATAATTTCCATACAGTCTTGAAACTGTGATGAGATATGGATTGTTATTTATCTCTCCCTTGAGGGAAGTGATGCGACATCAAATTTGGTGATGTAAATGCCGCTATCCTGTGAATTTTTTATTCTTTAACTGTAAAATTATGTTGAAGATGACTCAAATCTACAGCGTAGATTTGACCAAAACGTTCATATTGTATTGAAATATTATTAAAATCAGTATGTTTTGTTGATTTTTGTCAGCGCATTACTTTTTGCGATGACTTTCATAAGCGTTGTTGTTATTTGTTTTTAACTTTTTTTATAAAAATTGCTATTTTTGCATTTATTTTAGATAGAAAAATTTTAAACTAAAACAAAATTTCACTAAAATCTAAATGTAACTAACATTTTTCATTAAAAACATACCATAAATTTCGTGTTTTTTAGATTATATATAAATCATACCCATTATAGTTTTTACATGACCCAATTATACTTAATTGCCATTTATTCAAAAACGCTTCAAACTTTCCGAATAACTCCATACAATCAATCGAATAACTGTTGTAAACATAATTTGTATATATTAAATATAAGAACCAACCTGTGTAATAATACGTAATATTTTAAAACGTTGTCTGCCTTTAGCTTTTAAACGAAACTCTCGTCGACCATGATCCAACCATATACCTCCGTCTGTGTATTCGTAGATTTCAGCAGTTGTTCCTATTCGCTCCATATCAGGATTACCATAACACACAACACCAAAAGTACGATCGTTTTGTATACAAGTTTGTAACATCTCTATAGTCTGTGTGCCAAAGACTGTCATTGGTAATGTTTGTCCAGGGAATAATACAGACTGCTTCACTAATAATGGTAGATTTATATAAATACCATCATCCAATATAGTTCTTCCTCTCAGTTCCTCTAAATTTTGTCCTAAATACTATACAGAAATAATTTCATTACATATTTTATAGAGTTTTAAGTTACTTGTGTTACAAATAAACATGACCAATAGTGTATACTAAATGTTATTTATCTTTAGAATTCCAGAAAATATAGACTTACAGAATGCGCTGCTGGTAATGTTACATCAAATGTATTCTCTGAGGGCACTGGTACGTCGTCCATATTGGGCTCTAGCCTATTGCTTGACAGGTCTAAGAATATATTACTCTTTATCATATATTTGATAATATATTAAATATACGGGGTGTCCCATTTTAAATGCATTAAGATTTCTCGAAAACTATGGTAGATTCGGAAAAATGTTTCAAACAACAGTTGTATAGTTCGGAGGGGAATATAAGAAGGTAAGATTGATTTGACCTTGAGTGACGCCACCAAGATCAGATCAAGGTTACATCGTTATTTTTTAAAAGAACACCCTATTTTTGATGACAGAATCTAATAGCTGACGTCAAGAGCTTTTTAAAATATTGTAATAAGGTTATTTTTCATTACGTACTTTTCGAGTTGCAAGACTTGAAATGTTATGAGGATTGAAAGTTACAGTACCGCCGGCATTAGCATTACGCAAGGTGTCCGACCGACGATTAAGACCTCTTGAATACTGTTCAGGATCATGTCCTGGATAACATTTGTCAAGATTAAAGCCATTAAAGGTTGTATTTTCTTTATTTTAACGTAAAAATGAATTTTTAGTGCAAAAATGAAAATAAGAGGAATAATCTCCAGTGGCCTTGATCTTGTCAAATGTTATCCAGGACATGATTCTGAACAACATTCAAGAGATTTTAGCCATCGGTCGGACACCTTGCGTAATGCTAATGCCGACGGTAATGTAACTTTCAATCGTCATAACACAAAAAGCACTTAAAGAAAAAATATTTTATTATAGTGTTTTGAAAAGCTCTCGAGGTAATTTACAAGAATATGTAATAAAAACTAGGGGATTCCATTTAAAAAGATCGACGTCACCTTAATCTGGTCTTGGCGACGTCATCCAAGGTCAAATCAACCTTCTTATGTCCCCCTCCGAATTATACAACTTTTGTTTGAAACATTTTTTTGTATCTACCATAGTTTTCGAGAAATCTTAATGCATTATTAAAATGGGACACCCTGTATATATAGGGTGTCCCATTTTAACGTCCCACTACAAATAATTTTTTTATTATTGATTTTAGAAAAAAATGTTTCAGACAAAAGTTGTATGGCTTTGGAGAGGACATAAAATGGTGTCATCAGTTTGACCTAAAATAGTCACTTGAAGGGCACGTGAAGGTTACCTTTAATTTCTTAAATGGAACCTCCTATTTGTTATTGCACATACTTGTAGATCATCTCGACAGCTTTCAAAAACACTATAATTAAGTTCATTTTAAATGTTGTTCAGGATCATGTCCTAAATAACATTCGTTAAAATCAAGGTCATTGGAGATTATTTCTCTTATTTTCATTTTTGCACCAAGATCAAAGCCATTGGAGATTGTACTTTTTTTTATTTTAACGTAAAAATGAATTTTTAGTACAAAAATGAAAATAAGACGAACAACCTCCAATCATCTTGATCTTGACAAATGTTATCCAGATCATAATCCTAAACAACATTTAGGAGGTTTTAGTCGTCGGTCGGACACCTTAGGTAATGCTAATGCCGGCGGTGCTGTAACTTACAAGCCTTATAATTTGAAAAGTACTTAAAGAAAAAAATAAACTTATTTATATAGTGTTTTGGAAAGCTCTCAAGATGATCTACAAGAATGTGCAATAAAAAATAGGAGGTTCCATTTAAAAAATTGAAGATAACCTTCACGTGACCTTCAAGCATCTATTCAAGATCAAACTAATGACACCATCTTATGTCCCCCTCAAAACCATACAACTTTTGTCTGAATATTTTTTCTAAGATCAAAAATAAAAGTTATTTGGGGTGGGACATTAAATTGGATACCCTGTATATATGTGTGTACATAAATATATATATATATATATATATATATATATATATACACATACAG